TGTGTGACCATCTATTTCCCCGTAAATCTGTTTGTTTTGTCTCATTCACCTCTTGCAAAGCGTAGAAACGTAATTCTTCATTAGTTTTGTACATAAAGCCCCATAAACACAGCGATGGCACAGATATGCCAAAGCGTTTTTTTGTGGGAACAGGCTCATGGGCAGTGCGCAGCAGGTGCCACAGAGGTCCCACCGCAGCACTCACCATATGTGGTGTGACGTTTTGGAGTTTCTGTTATATCCCGGACTCATACGCGTCCTTTCTCTCTCACAAAGATTGCTCCATTGCGTTCACAAGAAGATGTCGCTGACGCTTGACCCAGTTAATGATGAGAGTCACCGCTGAAATATTAATATTCATTAATTCATTTCTAAAGAGATGAGCAATGCAGTGGTCACTAGGGAAAAAACGCGTATATATAATATAGCGTTTAAAAAAATAATAATACAAAAAAAACTCAATATAAACTGCGTGTCACTAACAGGCCTTCTTAGGCTTCAACTAGTCTTGCTGGCCGACCTCCATTCTGAGCTGTGGAACAGGCGGTTTCTGAATATTTCTAGGCGTGACTTTCATAAATACTCTAGTTTTCACTGCAGCATTTATCAACAGCCGGGTATGCTTATGCTCAGATCTGTGCGTATCTCACGCGTTCATAAATCCTGCGTTGAGTCTGGTGTAAATGGAATATACACCCAAAATATACAGCCTTTTCTGCTTAAGTTTCATAAATGAGGGCCAATGAGGGAAGCAGAGTCCTGCCACAGCTCCATCATCAGGTAAAAACTATAACACCTTTGACTGCACCTCATTTTCTACATTGTTTTAATTATTATTTCCTATTGCTTTAACACATTTTGTAAAATATCGCTCATTGTCACCATTGACTTTGGATTGATAGTCGCCGCAACGCATGACAGCTAAAAGCTAGTAATACCTTATCCAGTTATTATTATAGATCCATGGAATGCTCCCAATCACGATGATGAAGACTTTAGACAAAAACTGGTCTCTTCCATACCAAAATTAAATTCTCATTATTTGATATTAGGTGAGAATCTGAACGCGGTTTTAAACCCTACTTTAGACAAATCCAACCCTGAAGATCCCATGCGACCGAAGACGGCACAGGAACTGGTACAATTCATGTCACAATATGGTCTTACTGATGTATGGCAACATCTAGATCCAGCAGACAAACAGTTTGTGTTCTATTCCCATGTACACAAAACACACTTGCGTATTGATAGTTTTGTTGTCAATAAAGCTTTACTTCCCATAGTGACAACTGTCTGAGTATCAGGCCGCAAGGGTGTCAAACTCATTTTGGTCTGGGGGCCAAAATACAACCTAATTGGATCTCAACTGGGCCGGGCCAGAAGATTCTCTAAAAAAAATACCCAAAAAGAGTACAAAAGTCCAACTTTTTGTGCACATAACCACATTTATTTAAAACTTGCTCAGTTATAACTGTAAAACTGTTACAAACTTAAATGCAACAGTGAGTTTTTCATAGTGCAAATAATGTAATGTATTTACAATATTACATTGTATATGGCATTTCACAATATTTATATTAATATTTTTGTGTTAGCTTTGTTTTACAAAGGCTCATTACAAAGGAAACTTAAACACAGCACCTCATCCTAATCATCTTCAGTGTGGTGAGGAAGTCCATGGTTATGTTATTGTCACAGAGAACGCATCAAACTAACCATGATACATTCAGTTGAAATGAACAAAACAACTTCCATAACATGATCCATTCTTAACGACTGCAGCAGTGTCTCTGTGTAAAATACAGTCAAATGTCCAAAAATCATCACCTCCATTTGCGGCTTTGTCACAACACCTGCCTTTACCATCGGTACCAGGCTGAGAGCGCAGGACCAGTCCACACCCAAATATAGACACGTTTCGTTAATTTTTCGGCGCCCATGCCGGCCAAGCCCTTGCGATCCAAGATGGCGCCATATTCAAATGAATGGTTTTTGCTCAGTGGCGCAAAAACCACGGGCACGGGCACTGACATATTAGCAGAACTCGCCTATATTTGGGCATCGTATGGTCCTCCCGGTTCTGCGCAGTTGATGAACTCCCATGATGCGTTGCGCCCATAGACTGTATATAGAGATCTCCCAGTCACATGACCCATAGTCGCGTGTCTGCCATTTTGACGGAATCCGTCCGCCGACTCCGCAGCAATGGATCTGTTATTAGCTCATTAGCGGTCGTCAGCTAACGCATCACTTCATGTCATCGCGCTTATTAGCATCAGAAAAAGATATATACACGAGGAAGATAAAGGAATTGGGAATCGTAGATCCATATGAAGCGTGACATGCAAGGCAGGTAACAGCTAAGCTAGAAGAAGAATTCTGAACATCAGCGGTGAGTTACCCATTTATATACCGAACCTAAATTCATAATCAGATCCTCTTCAAATGTGTCCTAAAATGTTCGTTTCATGTTAAAGGTTGCTTCCGGGTTTATCACGATCGCGTTTTGTCACATTAAAACAATATTTTCGTCATTAAAACGTTAACAAATTATTCTGAAAACCTCTTTGCATTTGTGTTAAGGATGTATATGTATACTGTATTCTCCGATTTACAATTAAAGGTGTTGATTGATTGGTATCTGTTTATTGAGCGTGGCAAGCTCGGCTAGCTCCACTAGCTTCTCTGTACAGACAGAAGTAACAGCTAGATTTGAGGAGCCGTTTAATAAATTATAATTAAATATTTGAATATATTCGAATATTTAAATTAATAAACAAACGAACTTCGAATATGATTTTTGTGTAAAAGTCAAAGCCCTAGTTGTGACTGATGCTAACTGAGCTAATGTTGGCCAGCCAACATTGTTTATTGCCGCCAACCACTTGTTTCTCCATTTTGTTTGCTTTGGGATACGGTATGATACGGTATAAAGATATTCCTTTTGTCAGATCATGTATCCGGTCGCATCCAACTGCACAGCATCACTCCGGCATGATAGGAAAACTACGACCTGTAGTATTGTCACAGGGGTAAAAAAACAGGTTCTTCGGACCCGGATTTAAAAAGGACCACTGTATTAAAAGCGAATTAAAAGCAATTTATTATAAAATACATTAAAAACAAGTAAATAAAAGCAATAAAAACCTAAACTAAAAAGAGGGCTAAAAGCTAAAACAGAGGCTAAAACAGGCTAAAATGCGTCCCCACGGCCTGGGCCGCCAGACCACGGGGCTCTCACCCGCCGCGCCTGGCTCCCGTGTCTGGCTCCCTCTCCGTTCTCAGTCCCGGGACCGGGCCGCAGCCCCGCCAGCCGCTCGCCGGCCACGGGTCGCCACCGGGCACCCGCGGGGGAGAGCCGGCACATCCCGGTCGTTGGGCCTAGCCCGGGCGCGCACGCGCCAATGCACTATCAATGGGCGCCTCACCGGTGCCGCTCTCCCCGCTGGCCTCAGTGCCCCGTGGTCTCTGGCTGGCGGTGCTCGTCCTTGGCCCGGTCCCATGTCCTCCTCCTCTGGACCGGCTCTGCCCTCCTCTGTTCCTCTCCCTGTGTCTTTCTTCCTCTCCGCCCCCCCCCCATCTCAGTCTTTTATTCTCAAGGCGCAGGTGTCTTGATTGCTCACGTGGGGAGCCGGGGTGCTTCAGGTGGTGCCAGTTAAAAATCAATATTAAAAACACACAAACACAACATGCATAAAATATGAATAAAACCATATTAAAACCCACCACCCATTTTGCACCCCCTGACAGTATCACCAGCGGTTTCGCATTTTCTATTCCGTCAAGATGGCTGCTCCAAATGGCGTGACGTCCCAATATTAACGGACGTTTTTTTGGGTGAAAAAACGCATCTGCGCATGCGTCAGCCGACATGAGCCCCATTCATTTAAACGAGTGCCTAAAAAATGTCAAAAATTCACAGCAACTAAACTAGACTGGTCCAAAAAAATTCACTCCCCACAGCATTGACACACATGTGGAACGGAGCTTTGGGCCAAGAGCCAACTTTTGGTCCATCCTGTAAAGACGTTTTTGAGAGGTCAGCTAATGCTATATGTTAGCATCGGCTAATTCTTATTCCAGGTCCACCCCCATCGGCCCGGGGTGGTATTGCAAGCATGTCAGCGCACGTCATTTTGGCCACGGTTGAGCCGGGACCCGCCCCCAATGGTTGCGCCGAATACGCGCGTGTGGCTCTCATGCATGTGCACAGAGGGGCTCAGCCATGTTTTGACCAATCAGAGCTGCTGATCAGAGCAGTGGTAGAGCGGAGTCAGAGCGGGATGGAAAAGAGTTTGTGGCAATAAAGTGTGGATTTAAAGAAAAAAAGTTCAGCATGACAAGGGACACTAAAATCCCCACAAAATCCGACCCTTATGAAAGCTGTAGGTTTTCTGTCAGCTGAGGTCGAGCTGCTTGAGTTTACATTGAGTTCTATGGGGAAAATTTCTGGGTAGCCCACGTGAATTTAGTCTGGTTTATTCTGCAGTACCGCGAGAATCCCCGAGCACATGGGTCCTTCAGCTCCAAGCTGTAATACCCTATCCAGTTATTATAGATCCATGGCAGGAACTCAGCGGCCGATGCTGTCGAGTCGTCTGTCCATTCAACCCATTCTCAGTGGAAGTGTCGGGTTAAGTCCCATTTCTGTTTCCAAGATAATGATCCAGTTTAAAAGAGATTTTAGAGCACAGCAGCTGTCACAGAGCGTTCTCAGTTGCTTTTGTCCAGCTATAACTAAAGTTGATAAATTCCACAAGTCTGAAGTCTGAACAATGAGTAATCCATGTTTTAGAATACAAATGTAAATAAAAATGATTAAAGGAGATTAAAAAGCAAAGCAAGCATGAAGCGGCAAGGCAAGCGTCTGCAATCTTCAAAATCATGGAGCACTGCCCCAGTCCTGGGTCTACGGACTCAGTCCTACATCTACAGCCTCAGAACCAATGGTTTTACGTGTTTGTTATTATTGCATTTCCAATGTTTAAACTGTTTGATTATCACGGCTGAAACGCCACAGAGTCGTCCCATCTGAACTGATTCACCAGGATGTCATCCTCCTCCGTCATCATGAACCTAACTCCAGCTTTGACCCCAGTCTTTAGCCCCACCCCCAGTGCATACCCCGCTCCTCCCGCTGCGCCCCCTGTCACCACCATCAGAGCGTCCGTTCCCAGATCCACAGCTGACAAGATGGCCCGCTCTCTGGCCGTGTGGGTGCAGTGCAGAGAGGCGTAGTACACAGCGGTGCCCAGGTTGTAGAGTGTGCTGACGCCTGGGATCCACTGCACCACGCCGTACACTCGCCGCTCGGTGGCATCCGTGCAACTGCGCCAAGAGCTGCGTCTGACCCGGTTTCTCAGACTTTGACACCTCTGGACCCACGATTCCGAGTCCGAGGGAAGGATCCGGCTGCCTTTCCTCAGCAGTGCTCGGTACGCACTCCGTCGGCCTGTGTGAGTGACTCCCACACACCGCCCTCCCAAATGTTCGCACTGTCGCAGCGCCTCCTCCAGAGTTGGCCAATCAGAGCCCTCTGCCATGGACCCAATGAGCATGGTCCGGTTCAGCCTGATCCAGCCGTTACAGCGATCACTGCTGTCCTCGTCTTGAGCCAGCTGCCGAATATTAAACATCACCAGGTCCATGTTTTGTTCAATGTGGTTTCTTTCTGCAGAAGTCGCCATCTTGGATAACCTCTTCTCCATTAACTGCTCCAGATCGAGCAAGAGCTGGTCGGTGTGGGACATCCCCAGGAGCTCGTACAGTTTCTGCACCAGAACCAGAGCTTCTCTTTCACAGTTTGCAACAACCAGAACTGGCACCAAACTCAGGCCCAGCAGCTCTCGCGGCAAGTTGTAGGAAAGAGAGTCGTCCATCGTGCTAGCCGCCGTTAGCTCCTTGCAGCTAACTCTGCCCTGAATGCCCAGGTAATCCTGGTTTTGTCCTTGGAACTTCTCCTTGAGTTGTGATATCACACGACCAGCAGCCTGACTCCTCTCCTGCTGAGACCAGAGGAGAACATGGTTCCTCTCAGAGCTGCTGCTGGTGTCTTCTATCTGGTGGTTTGTGAGAGAGTAAGGAGACACAGAAGTAACGAGTAACATCTGGATGAAGATGAACCATTTCAGTTTAGACGTCATCTTAATGCTGAAGACCTGCAAAAACAAAATACAGGTATAATTAACATTGGGTGAATATATACATTTAAACATATAAACTTATAAACATACAGACTTATAAACCTATAAAAACATAAGGTCCAAGTGTCTTCTAACTGAGGCCATTTTTTTATGATTTTATACATTCAAAATTTCCTTTTATACGTATTATTTTGATCTTTATAAAAGGTTATTTTTCAGGCCACCATGGTGCAGTGGTTAGAGCTTGTGCTTCACAGCAGGAAGGTCCTGGGTTTGATTCCAGATCTTTCTGTGTGGAGTTTGCATGTTCTCCTTGTGTCTGCGTAGTTTTCCTCCAGGTTATTTGGTTTTCCCTACAACAAAAACGTATACTATAGTCCTCTGTAACAGTCCTGTACGGAGCCCTGCAAGGGCCAGGGGTAAAAAAATAAATAAACTGTGCGCACAGATTGTTAAACTGTGCGCACAGTTTAACAATCTGTGCGCACAGTTTAACAATCTGTGCGCACAGTTTAACAATCTGTGCGCACAGTTTAATAATCTGTGCGCACAGTTTATTTTATTTTTTACCCCTGGCCCTTGCAGGGCTCCGTAGTACTGGATCTACATCCTCAGTGTTGGGTCTACAATAAGATTATGCGTATGATTTTGTTTTGTTTTGTAATAGAACATGTATTTTATCTTCTTTCTGTGTTTTAACTGTTGATTCTCCGATCTATGTTGGTGATTTCAATGGTTTTGTTAAGTCCTCTGAGATGACTTCTGTTGTGATCTAGGGCTATACAAGAATAAATTGTATGGTATTGTATGATTAAGTGATCCTTTATTTGTCTCACAGTGGGAACATTTTCAGAGTTGCATCTCAAGAACAGTAGGAATGAGGAGCACACAGCACAAGATAAGTGAACAATAACTGTACTAATTAAAATAAAACAAAGTCTCTAACTCTAGCATCAAAAGACAAGTAAAAAAATCTCTATCTTGAACATAATAATAAAGAAGTATAAAGGTTTTACATTTGGAAAAATAAGAGGCAAGTATAAAGTACTGTGTATTGTGTATGTACTGTATGTAGTTGAGTGTGTTCACAGTAAAGTGACAATTGAAGTATCTGGACTTTAAAAGGTTATAACTTAAAAACTAAAATTACTTTCATAGATTGGAAAAAAGATTTCAAACACAGACACATTGAAGAGATAGTGTGGAAAAAATCAAAAGGAAAGATTGACATAAACATTTTTAGCAACATTTTAAACGACCAAATCAGCCTCTGATTGGACCATTCTACTGTGACGCCAGTTACATAGAAAATAAAATGTCCTCAGTCTGAAAAAGAAGAAGATGAAATCCCACAAGATTTACATGGTTAACACAACAGAAGGAAATCACTTGATATAAAAAGGAATCGTGAAAAAATAAAAAATAATTAATTAATTAAATGACCCCTGAAAAATGTATAACGGACGTGATGAGGACGGTCCCCTTTTCTTTAAAAATTAAACTTGAGGAAAAAAAAATCTGGTCTGTTTTCACATTTCACAATATGAAAGTATCACTTTGCATCTACTTTGTGTAAAAAAATAGAATCTCTGAATCAAATGTGGACATCTGAAAATACCTATCAAACTTCCACAAAGCTCATTCCGTCAGTCCGTTACATAAAATAAACAGGGCCGCTATAGGAAACTTGTCTAATGTATAAAACAGTTATGTTCTAGCAACCTCTAATGGACAGAGGAGGTGTTTGGAAACATGAAAAACATAAAATATCTTCTGATTATTAAAATCAAATTTTTGGCCTTTTGTCACACTTTTGTGCCCTTTAGTGTGAACAAGCCCAGTTATATGTTAGCATCTGTACATGTTAACAGCAGTAAGTTTACAGCTGTACATTAGCAGCATGAGGCTCTGAGACACTGACTCAGTGACAGACTAAGTGACAGTGACATATGGTTATTGCACAATCTGATATTATTTAAGGATATTGCACTGACACATGAGATCAGGTTGGCAGTGTTCATTGGTTCTCAAAGTTTGTGTTAAAGTCTTGACAGCAGCAGGAAGGAAAGACCTGCGGAACTTCTCCTTCACACAGTGAGAGTGATTAAGTCTGTCACTGAAGTTACTCTCCAGAGCAGAGAGAGTGTCCTGCAGGGGGTGACAGTCATGGTCCAGCATAGATGTTAGTTTGTCCATGACCCTCCTGTCCCCCACCTGCTACACTGTGTCCAGGGAACAGCCCAGGACAGAGCTGGACTTCGGACTTCCTGATGACCTTGTCCAGCTTCTTCCTGTCCCTCTCTGTGATGCACCGCACCAGTGGCCCCTGCACTCCAAAAGACCTGAGTATATGTGTCTTCAGCCTCAGTTCTGCTCCCTATGAACCGATGGTTCAATGCTGCCCCTTTTTCACCGGTTCTGTTCACTGTCTTTATGGACAGAATTTCAAGGCGCTGCCAGAGGCCGGAGGGGGTCCAGTTCAGGTACCACAGGATTTCATCTCTGCTATTTGTGGAGGATGTTGTCCTGTTGGCTTCAACGAACCAGGACCTGCAGCATGTACCGGGACGGTTTGCAGCTGACTGTGAAGCGGCTGGGATGAGACTCAGCACCTCCAAATCTCAAGCTATGGTGCTCAGTCACACGAACTGCTGCTTCTCCACGTCGAGAGGAACCAGTTGACCCATCGCCTATGCCAGTCGAGGGCGTACATGTTAACGAACAACAACCCCCCAATGGTGAGTTTGAACCCGCGTTTTTAGATGCGGGTTCAAACGCTCCAAAAGCTGTGCTTTTGACAAGCGGCATGCTCCAGCTACCACTCTCCCCCAGCCATTGCACAAAACGCTACAGGGGGCCTCAAGTCGTGATGACTGTGTCTTCCCTACATATTCCCTTGCTGCCCTATCTGAGCTTCAGCACACAGACCCTTTTATCCAGGAGATCCGCCCATATTGGAGAAAAAAGAGACAGCCCACTGGCCAGGAGTGGCAAATACTGTCCCAGCTGGCCACAATTCTGCTGAGCCAGTGGGATCTTCTGGTTGAGTTGGGGGGGTGTCTTTTACAGGCAGGTTTTCCGCCCTGACCGCAGTGGAGCAAGCTTTCATCTCCTTCTGCCTAGAGCCTTGGTTGAGAAGGTTCTTGCACAAGTCCATCAAGAACATGGACATCAAGGGCTTGAGAGGACGCTGGGCCTTCTATGCTCCCGCTGCCATTGGCCAGGCATGTCCTAGGAGGTTGTCCAATGGCGCCAGGGGTGTGAGCATAGTCAGCTCACACCGGGCTGACACTTATATGGGCCATCAGTTGGCCTCCAAGTCCAACGAGATTGTGGCTATTGACTTTACCTTGTTAAAGCCCACCTCTGCTGGGTTGGAGAGAGTTTTGGTGTTGATGGATGTAGGTCTTGGAATGGTTTTTGAAGTATGAAGAGCCAGCCTGCATCCACTCGGATCATGGGCGCAACTTTGAGACTTTGACAGCTGTGTAATTTGTATGGAATTGTGAAGTCTTGCACCAACCCTTATCACTTGTTTGGGAATGGGCAGTGCGAGTGCTTACCAACCTCTACACAATATGTTGCTCACCTTGCCAGTTTCCCGTAGGCGGGACTGGCCTAACTTGTTTGCCTCAACCTCTTTGAGCATGTAAGACCACTCAGGGGGGAGTCCCAATTTATCCTGATGTTTGGGCTGGAAGAACAGCTCCCTATGGACATTCTTCTCAGGCAGGTACCAGAGCCATTGGGGGGCACTGTACACGAGTGGGTATGTGAACATCAGATCCGCCTGCAGATAGCTTTTGACGGGTGTTACGGTCCAGGAGAGGGTGCTGTCAAGGTTTGCCTGCTTTCTCTGTCGTGTCCTTCTCTGTGCAGGTACACACCAGCACCATGCCATGCCCCTCATCAGTGGATCTTTTCAGCTGGGAGTTGGTCCTGTCCTGGTGGGCTCTGCCGAGAGCCACCATGCCCATTCCTCGTTTGAACATTTGAGTTTATAATTTGTTTTATGCACCACATTCACTGCACACTATATGCTGGCTTTCATTGCACTCATACACCTGCACCACACTACTGATTACTACATGTTATGTTTTTATGCATGTTGTGTGTGTGGTTTTTTACATTGTGTTTTTACTTGCACCACCTGAAGCACCCCGGCTCCCCACGTGACGATAATTAGAACACCTGTGCCTTGGGTAAAACAGCACCCTACAACAATAAAACATTGACACGGAAATAAAAACATTTACTACATTGCGACAAAAGACATACAAGATTAAAACATAACATACCGGAAAGCAAAGTGTAGCGCTCTCCGCACTATACCGAGACCCCGAGCCTCTGATCATGCTCAGCTATGCGGTAGCCGGGCCAACGCGCACAATGCTAAAAACAATAGTTAAGTTAGTGACGCAGCCGACCAGCGGCGCAATTAAAAGCTATGAACGGAGCTTACCAGCGACTCATTAAAGGAATAGGCCACCGTTTTTACATACTGACATATGTTCTTACCTTACCTTAGACTAGTTGATATGTACCTGTCTGGTCTTTGTCCGTGTGCTCTGTCATGCAAACGGAGCACAAACACAGCCTCTTCCACATTATTATTACACTGTATAGTTCCAAATCAGCTCCCGTTAGAAGCTACCAAACTCTTCTACGTTTTCCCTATTTAAATACAGTTATATGACGTGTTACCCTACAAAGTATAGTAACACAGAAATGTAACATGTTGATTTTCTCAGCGGATAAAAAGGGGTACTATATTGTGAGGCGTAATAATACGAGGAGCACTACGTCCGTGCACTAACTCCTAAAGACTTCTCTCCCGCTCACTTCCGTCAATAGAAGCAGCGTGACTTGTAGTACGTACAGGAGCGGGAGAGAAGTCTTTAGGAGTTAGTGCGCAGACGTAGTGCTCCTCGTATTATTACGCCTCACAATATAGTACCCCTTTTTATCCGCTGAGAAAATCGACATGTTACATTTCTGTGTTACTATACTTTGTAGTGTAACACGTGACGTGTTGGGTAAGTTACTTTGAAAAAGTAATTAGTTACAGTTACTAGTTACTGCTCCCAAAAAGTAATATAGTTACTAACTTAGTTACTGCACTATGAAATTAACTAGTTACCAGTAAAAGTAACTATTGCATTACTTTTTAGTTTGTCGTGGTACCGAGCTTAAGCTGGTTGCAATTTAGGATAACTTCTAAATAGATTAATTGTTGCAACAACGCCACCCTATTTTAGTATTAGTATTATGTTAATTTAGGGAACTGTCCCGCAGCACACAGGTGACAGGCCAAAGTGCCATTACATTGCATTTATTTTTATCCATTGATCAAACAAAGCACATTACAAAACCTGCAATTGAAAGAGACTATTTTAAAATAATTAGTTCCCACACACACACACGAGCAGCCCTAGCGCCTGACAGAGAAGAACCAGGGAAAATACAGTGCGCAGAGCGCCCCTGACAGTCAAGAAGCAGGGAAAATACAGTGCGCAGAGCGCTGAGCATGTGAACAGAGCATTCACATGCTGCCCGCTCAAAGCTTGCACTCCACGACAACGTTTTTATCTTTTTGACTGATATAGTTCAAATAGTGCATATCTCCACCGGTAAAACGAATTCCTCTCCTCTGTTGCTTTACAAACAAACGCACGTAGCGGTAGTGCAGCTTTCCGCTGCTTTCCCGAGGCCGGTGCCGCCGGTAAGTAGTAATTAATAAGTAATCTTTATGTAGTGGTACACCTGTCTTGTGAGCGCTCCTATCAGCGCTCTGGCTTGTAGTATTTAATGACAGCCCTCTCCCGTACACTCCTGTTTGCCTCGCCTCTGACGTCGGGACGCTGCTCGCTGGTGGCGTTCGAAGCACATGTTGCTTTAGATCCAGCCTCTACACCGGCTTTGTGACCCAGCGGGCACGCTTATTTCAGTCTGTGTCTCGGTGAGTGCTTGCGGCCGGCCTTGTGGCTTTGTTTTGGCACAATTTTCAACTTAGATTTCTTTTAGATTGTCTGTGATCCCGGTGTAACGCCGAGATACACTGTCTTGAAGAGATGCACTGCCTCAGCTGTTTATGATGTAATGCAAACCTGCGCATGCGCGTCTCACGGCAACCGAAGCATACCAAGATGGCGGACCGTGAATTGCTTTAAAAGTTGAAATACGAACGAATTAAAGACACGAATGTCACTTTTAATGCAATTTGAGGCGAGATGTTGATGGTTCCGTTTTGTCACATGTGGGTTTTAAGAGTCAAAGTTTTGTGCAAAGTATAGTTTAAGCAGTCAACTGCGCCTGTGAAACCACAAAGCTAATGTTTTCATAGCAGTCCACGGCTGCTGACGTAGGCTGATGACGCGTCCTGTGGCAACTCTACACTCTAAAGCTCACCGCACACCGAAACGCAGCGCCTCGCGGCGCGTCATTTGACGCGCGTTCATGACATGTGTCAAATTACACCGGAACGCCTTGGCTAGCGTCCTTTTCCAGCTGATCGCAGATGAAATGGGTGAGTGACGTTTGGAAGTTTCTACTAAGATTTTGGGGGAGGAAACAAAGTATTTACGTGAAAATGCTTATGGCTATAGGGTCAGTATATAAAGATTATAGATATGGTTAGAATCTATAAATGATTATGGATATAGGTTCAGTATATAAATGATTATGGATCTAGGTTCCAGTATATAAATGCATCTGGATATAGGTTCAGTATTATAAATTATTTCTGGGAAATAGGATCAGTATATAAATTATTATGGATATAGGTTCAGTATTAAATGATTATGGATATAGGTTCAGTATATAAATGATTATGGATATATAGGTTCAGAACTAAATGATCTATGGATATATGTACAGTATATACTTAAGTACCTCAGCGTGGGTGTTCAGAATTCATTTGTTCGTTTTCATGTCGTTCAGAGCCTCAATGGAGTTGCTTCAGAGGCTCCGTGAAAACAACAACTGAGCATGCGCGCAGCTACGAGCGATCAGCGCTGATGAATGACAGCCCTGGCCTGATTGATTGGTTAACTTCACTGGCAGTGTGGATTCTGAGCTATAGCAAAGAGAAGGGAAGGCGGGATTACCCGTAATATTGGAATTATAAAATTACTTTATTTTATGTCAACTTTCAGGCAAGGAGGGTCAATTTAACACAATTCTTAAAAAAAAAAATTATTCCCAGACTATCACCTTTAAAACCGGGCTTTAGGGTGCGCCGTGGACCGCAGCCCAAACAGCAGGATGAAAGAAGGCGCAGTGCATCGGCTCTTGAGTATCACTATTGTAACCCTTGTGCTTAGGCCATTCCCCTGGTTTTATGCCGTCTCTCGGCCCCACTCCGAACCAGGCATCCAGGATGCTGCGATGATCATGTCCAGTGCAGGTTGGTAGAAGGCCATGGAAGACGATGAATGCAGAGAGGCGCATCATCATTATTATTATTTTTATTATTTTCATCATTTACCTTTTCATTATTATTATCATCATTCACCATTCTATTATTATTCTCATCAACTTACATTCTCATTATTATCTCTTCAATACCATTCTCATTATATTCTCATCATTACCATTCTCATTATTATTCTCATTTTATTACATTCTCCCATCGTTATTAACCATCATCATTATTATTTCAATTATATTTATATTCTCATTCTATGTATTCCACATTGTTGTTATTATTTATATAATTATTATCATTTTTCAGAGGGACTGTAGAGAAGTAAAAAATGCTGCACAAATACACATAATTCAATCACGAGTCTCCATTTAGAAAATGGAAATCTGGAAATATTTGTGGATCTTTATTGGTTTTTTTTTTAGTTTTGTAAAGCACTTTGAGTTGCTTATGTATGAAACTACAGGTATGCCATATAAATGATTTGGCCCTTGCCTTGCCATATATGTTTTTTTTGTCAAACACGTAAGAAAAAAAATTGGAAACGCACAAAGTCTCACAAAAGAATGACAATCGAACCGATCTCCAAAACTGGGCATGTACCTTACAATCAACTTACTTGCGTTCAAGAGTGTTTTTTAAGTATATGTAAATTGTATTTTTAATGAAGAAAAAAAAAGTAATTAGTTATGTGACCCTTATGGAGGTTTTCTAACTGTTTGGAAATTTGTTACAACTGTAACTTATTTGGTTCCAATTGGTGTAATTAAAACCTGCCACCAATGGCCCTCATTTATGAAAACTTGTGTGTGGCAAAGAAGGGTGTAAATGGAGGCGAAACGCAAAAATTGTACATTATCTGCATTTATCAATTGGAGTGGGGTACGGTTGCACAGAAAATACGCCCGGTCTGGTGGGGGGAGTACGCTCATTCAACCTTCGCCACAACACGCTGGAAACCGCATGAAATTCAAGATTTCAACAAAACATTACCACATTCCACACTCTGGCAAAATTATAAGCTGCTGTTTTCATTGAGCCATGCATTTCGAAGTTAGAATTTTCGATCAAAATGTTATAAGGGAAACATTGCACACTTCGATACAATACAATTTATTATGTATAGCCTAAGTCCACAACAGAGTCATTCAGTGGATTAAAGGTCCTATATCACGATTTCTTCAAGTTCACCATCATCCCTCTGCACATGTTGTGATATTAATGTG